AAGGAAAAGAAAGAAAAAACAAAGCCAGTGACCGCGAAGGTCAGCTCCAATCGCGCAGACAGACTACTGTGACAATAATCAATCATTGTTATTTTATATACCATACATATGTAGTAGTCTACAGAATACTTTTTTCACAACCTAGTATGAATAATATAGGCATAATAAATTTTTATACACTAAGAGCTTGAGTCAACGTTTAGGTTATGAAATCTCAAAGTGAACTTTACGACTTTCGTTCTTTGAATTTAGCACATTGATTAATGGAGTCTTAAAACAACCGATAAACTTACTTTGGATCCCAATTAGAAGTTTATGTCCCAACGAGAAATTGTTGTTAAGCGTGAATTACGATTTATTACATATAGGAAAACGTGATAGTTGCATTCCGAATGTTATCTTCGGACTCTATATATTCTTGTACACCTTGTCAATGGCACGTTACCAAATATTTTATTTCCTTATATACTTCTTGATACCCTAAATATTAAAAAATTTTGTTGAAGAAAGTTCGAAACATGTTTTGAAGTGACCGGGAATTTTGAATAGATAAACATAAAATTGTTTCTGAAAAATTATGAAGAAAATGTTTTTAAATATGCTAAGTCAAAACTTTTTAAATCTCAAGGAAAACCTGATTTAATTTGTTTTTTAGATTTAAAATTCAAAGGAAGTATAATTTCGTTACCAGTAGGTTGAATCCATGTTGCTGAAGAAAGTTCTATTGGATATGTCTTTATAAACTGTGTAACATAGCAAAAAAATCATTACGTATCTATCAATAATAAAAATAAATATGGTAGCCTTGATACAATATAATTTTATAATGTGGATATGGCATGTGGATATACACAGAAGTGTTGAAATTGTTTTGAGCCGTCAATTCATTCGTAGAACGACATAAAACTAATGTGGCTTCATTATATAAAACCCCTATACGACACTTAATTGTAATAGACTTTTACATATTTATGTTACTTTGGATACGTATCTCAACTTATGAGATTTTTATATTATTTTATTTTGAAAAAATAAAAAACCTTTTTTAATTTTTATATCATCAGAAGCCGAATTTATTGTTATAAATGGGTAGGAAGTTAATTTCAGACCCTGCATTGGATTGAACATTTGTGGTATTATATATACTATTAAAATACTATTTTGCTATTTTGTATGCAAATATGTTTAGTTGTACCTCTTATATGTAAGTATGTTAAGTTATACCTATATCTGCTCGTTGTATAACCTTTCTACATTTAATAATAGCATTTGCTAATAATATGGCTTTTGTACTTAAAAGTTGCTGTCTTCTGTTCTGGAATGTTCATAAATCAAATGATTAAAATGTGTGTATTATAGTTTATTT